AGAGAGAGAGAGAGAGAGAGAGAGAGAGAGAGAGAGGGAGAGTGGTAGGTTTAATGGGTAAGGAGAGATTTAGTAGGTAGGAAGTTAGGGAGGGGAAGAATAGTGGGTCTTTAAAACATTTATTTTTTTTACTTGGGATAAAAGCAACAAAAAACAGTAATAGAGTTATCCGTATGATACAGTATTGGGTGGTAGAATGTCTACCAAGTTCATTTTGAACGGTATCCATAATTTTCCCATAAATAAATTAATACATTTCCAAGAGAAAGAACAAGTGTGCACTCATTTTATTTGAGATGCACTTTTACCTCAATTAGGTGTTAGCTTGATGTTAGGGTTATTTGGTTAGTGGGTTGGTTTATTATCAAAATGATCAAATTTTCTAAGAATCTTTTCATTATAGTGCGATTATGTCAATGCAATACCATCTAGTATAATATCAAACCCTTCTATATCTTTAGCTTCAAAACTTGAAGATAGGGACTTAGTTTTCTGTATAACCTCTATAGTACGAAAACATGTTATCTAAACGTAAGCATGTAATTACGCATACATCACCATCCATTTTACCGTGCATGCACTTTATATAAATTATAGAGGAGAAAGCCATTTGAGAGAATCACATGTTCTAATTTTTTATATCATTTAATAACTTGTTTAAGGTCTCCCATAAAGGGTTTTCTAGTTTGTATACTTTATTTTCTAGGCCGGGTACAACAAAACCATCAGGTTCTATATAGATTTCCTCATTTAAGTCCCCATCAGAAAAAGTAGTTTTGAAATCCATATAATGAATTTATAATTTATAAATGCATGCAAGTGTAATTAATTGAAGCTATTCTCGCTACAAGTGCATATAATATTGAAAAATTAAAAACTTCAGTTTTTTTTAAAACCTTTGTCAACTCATCTCACTGAGCCTAATCAATTCTTTACCAATTTTTTATTATTATTATTTTTTTAAAGAGAGTAAAAAGCTAAGGAGAAATACATGGTTAGGCTAGCTGCGCTCGTGTGGAGCTTGGGCCGTTGTAGCATTAGTAAGACATTCCTCTAACCATATTTTGTGGCCCAAGCCCTAGCTTTTAAAGCCGTAACACCCTGTTTATAAACTTTGTTTAATTCTAATGTACTTAGGTCTCCTAATTAAATTTGGGAAGGCTTTCTATGTGACCTCGTCCACATATATAGTATATGTGACCTCTAGTCTCAACCATCAGATCTGAGTAGATGGCTAAGATGACGTAAGTTACAATGTCACAAACTGGCTTTTAACCGTCGGATTTTGATCGGACAACTCAGAGTTTTTTATTTTTAATTTTAATTCTATAGATCATTTTAAAGTAAAATTTGGGGCCTGCATAGATCTAACAAGGGCACACATGATAATAATAATAATAATATATTTTTTATGATAAAAAAGTACTATAATACCCCTGAAAATTTTAGGGCCATTTTGGTCATTTATTTTCATAGATAATATTTTTTTATAGTTTTTCAGGTTCACCCTAATTTAATGATGAGAAGCGAAAAATTTCATCCAAAAATATTTTATAGAAAAAAATAAAAAATAAAGTGTTTGGCATGACATTGGGGTATGAACAATCGTAGCCGTTTGATTCATATCGAATGGCTAGGAAATGGAGTCACATATAACTTATATATTGTTGGGGTCTCATAGAAACATTTCCCATTAAATTTAGCCCACGTTTGATACTATTGACCTTGCCAAAAGAAAATAAGGCAAACACATTTAAAAATGATACCCCAACTTCCCGTTAGGGTTAATTTTTCGCCCCGACATTGAAATCAGGCTTATGACACCATACTAGAAATGGTAGCACAGGCCCTATAACCTAGAAGCTTGCTTTGTCAGTTTTCTCGAGCAATCCAGGCCCAAAAATGCCTTTAAGCCCCGAATATTAGACCTAAGATTCGGTGCCGAAGTCAGCCTACATTAGTCTCCATTGGTTCGAAAGAACTCACCCTAGAGTTTTGATAATCTATGAATTTATTTAATGCTCCCTTCATCAATTCTTTTCAACTCCTCTAAAACACATGAAATCTCTAACTCAGGGTTACCTTTCTATTGGACTAGATACGAACTCTATGATCCACAACTAGTAGTAATAATCTTAATATTAAGAATCATATGGATCTAATCACCAACCTGCTTAGGTATCAGCACATTCTGCTCAACATTCCCCACATGAATGGGCTCTCCTTTATACAACTATAATCATGAATCTTAAAAAAAACAGTGAGATCTCATACCCTTTGGAAGTCGATCTTATGTGCATTATTGTCGCTTCTGAAGAATATGGCAAGGGTCAATCTTTTTATTTGAGCTTATAATATGTTCTACCAGGAATATATTATAGACATAGCATCAACAAATCACCTTTGCTAACCGCTTCTAGGCATTCATGTTGGTCAGCATCATTCTTGTACTTAACATAGCTCTCCTAAAGGATTCCTATACCTGTTTATGAACTTATTAAAGACGCATGGCTAATGCTTTAGTGTCATCCCTAACTTGCTCTCCCTCTACAAGAGGCAAGAAATCTAATATGTTGTTTGGTTGTTGTCCATAAACTACCTCCTAAGGTCACATTATTGTGTATTAATTGGCAATATTTATAAAGTCAATTGGGGGTAAAATATGATCCCATTGTAAATGCTTGTTTCCCATAAACTTGTCAATACATTAAACTCAAGGCTTAGAACTTAAAAGAATATAAAAATACTAAGAAAACTACTGAACAAATAGTAGGTAAGACTAAACTCAAGGCTTATGATAATCTATACATTAAACTGGGAACAAGAAAAGGTGAAAAATACATCTTCAAATTGGCAAAAATGAGAGAGAAAAAGTATAAGGATCTGGACCATATTAAATGTCTTAGGAGTGAAGACAAAGGGTCTTGGTGCAGGATGAAGAGGTCAACGAAGGTAGAGAGTTTATTTTTAAAAATTATTAAATGACAAACACAAGGGGAATAGTGATAGAATGAACAATTGGCATAAATGAGGGTAGATGTTATAGATACATTCGTAGGATTAAGATATCAGAAGCGAAAAAAGCTTTGATGATGATAAAGATAGGAAAAACTTTAAGACCAGTTGATATCCCGATAGAAATTTGGAAGTGTATGGGGAAGATCAACACTGACTGTCTAACCAAGTTGTTCAACAAGGTGTTGAGAGCAATAAAAATATCAGACGAATGGAAAAAGGTAATATCGCCTGAAGCCATCACCATCATTAAATTATAAAGAGAGAACAAATAAAGCAGCAGATGCTTCCTTGAAGCAAACAAGTTATCACATTGCTAACTCGAGCAAAGGATTCAGTCTCGCATCATCATTCGCTTGGATGCAGAGCTCTTTTGGTTGCAAGTTCTAGATAAATTGTGCTATGTGTAGCAGCTGCACCCAATTCCTTTGGTTGATACTCACAAAGTACCAAGAGGTACCCCTCCGGCTACGCATTGATCCTTTCTGTTTGGCCATCATCTGTCTGTAGATGAAGACTCGTGGAGAACTTCAGCTTTGACCCCAAGGGTTTGATATAGTAAATATGTGCTGCAATTACAAAGAGGAATGAACCGAAAGGGGAGTCAACCTCCTCCTTGCTCCTCCAGTAGCACACACCATTACAAGTTGGAGAGATCTATCAATATCATACTTAATCAAATAGGTTATTTTCTTGCCTATGAACTGAAAATCCATATCCAATTGCAATCAGAATACATTTTAGTTGACCTATGCATGTTTGAACAACATCGGTTAAACATGTTTGTCTTTGATAAGAATCGATACAATCTCTACAAAATTCCTCCTCCGAATAAAATTCAATAGGACCCGTGGAGACCATGTCTTCATCCATCGGTTGCCAAGTGCTGCAATCAATCGAAAGTTTGATTGCATCTTAACTACTCATTTTCAAGTGATATCCACATTGCTCACAAACATTCTATTAATAATGTTTCTTCCCATAAATTTGTTGGCAAATGCAAACATATGAGTAATGCATTCACCATTTTGACTATAATGCAATTTTTTTCTTTCCACCAAACCATTCTATTGCGGGGTGTAAGGTGTTGTTATTTGATGTATAATCCCATTATCTTCACAAAATTTAGAAAATTCATTGGAAGTGTACTCATCTTCTCTATCACGTCTCAATATTTTGATTGAATTTCTATTTTATTTTCTAAAATCATAAAATTTTCAAATGCTTCTGTTTTATTTATAAGTAAACATAAGAACATTTAGAAAAGTTAACAATCAATATAATAAAATATATCTTACCCCCACAAGTCATGATATTGCTTAATTACAAATATCATATTGTATTAATTCAAGTAACTCAAAATTCCTTTCTACTTTAGGAAAAAGATTTCTAGTTATCTTAGATTCAACATATCTCGTATTTCTCGAATGCATGAAAAAAATAACATTTTGAAAGTAAATCTAAACTAGTCATATTTTCAATAGATTTAAAATAAACATGACTGGATCTAACATGCCATACATTCAAAGAATGTATCGTATATACAGGAGAACCACTTTTATTCATATCCATTGAGTTTGAACATATCACACGTGGTGTTTCCCTTGCCTACAATTATACCGTTCTTCGACAAGATTACCCTGTTAAGACTTAATTGCAATTTTAAACTCATATTTCATATTTATTAAGAAGGTAGATTGATAGATGATTCTTATGTATATCGTGTGGGGGAAGTACATGTGTTAGGGTGAGGACTTTGCTTAAGGTGAACCAATGTTCGGCACTCATTTCCTAAAACTTGCTATAGAGCAAAGTCCCATGCAGAATTCATGGTTTTCTTCCACTGGTTCATAGGCCTTAAACATATCCCTTATTAGAGACATAGGCCAGTGGCACCAAAATCAAACCACCACTTAATGTCACTCCCCATAAATGTTAACTCCGACATTATTGCTGCCATTTTCTCCTCAACTATTTAGCCACATTTGCTCGAGAATGTTATATTTTTCGTTTTCTACATTCTCTTGCATAGTGTCTCGATTTTTAGAAAGTAGCACTCAAGTCCTTTTTCGTAGGCTGTGCTAGGATCTGCTTGCTACTCAAGCCTTTTTTTCGCAGCTATTTTAGCAGGGTTCAAGCCATTGCCTCTGTTTCTCTTCTTTTTGTCTGTCTCTCTTCTTGTTTTCTTGATATACACACACCCTCCTTGACACTCTCTGTCCTTTGCTCTTCGCCTTCTTTTAGCACTTCTTCCCTTCCTCTCAACACTTCTTCCTCTCTTTTAACTCTTCTTCCTCTTTCTTAGCCCTCTCTTGCTCATTTTTCTTTCTCAGTAATCGAGGTAGTAGGTTGTGTGTGTGTGAGTGGATGGTTGCGGCAGGGTGGGTTTTTTGTTCCCCTTTCGTCTCTTCTCTCCACCTCTTTCACCTACTACCCCCTTTCCTTGACCTCTCCTAGTGCCTTTTACTTTTCGCCCATGACCATTTCTTTTGCTTTGGACATTTCTCTTTTTTCCTCGACTCTCAACTCTCGAAGAGACGTTAATGCCTAAGACAGGGTTTACCCTTCCTCAAGGGATTGACACCCTGTTGTGGGGCTTCTTAGGCCTTTGGGGTCTTCTCGAGGGCCTGGAAGCCCCATGTATTTGACCACTATGAGTTAACGCTGAAGATGGGGAATGGCCTGGTGGTGGGCTATTGTGAGCCCTGTCGTGGAGGTCGATACTTTCCTTTGGGAGCTTAGATCTCATTGTGTATAGCCTCATACAATACCTTTGGGGAGTTCACTGAATTTGGTTCCTCTTTCACCTCTTCTTGGTTCTCTCTATGTTCAGAGCCAATTCTTCCATCTCTTTCGCTTTTTTCCTCTCCCATCTCTCTCCAATCCATTTTTATAAAACCGTATATGTCAATCGCTGGTTGTGCTCCAACCCCCACTGGCATGTTGCCAAGCTCTTATTGATCTTCTTATGAGTGCCACCAGACTGGTGCAGGTTGTACCTTGGCCCCAACACCAGCTCATGAGGTTATTGTTTGAAGGGATAATGCTTACTGGGGGTGTTTGTGAAAGATTTGGGGTCGAGCGGAAGAGATCAAAGGGTTCGATGGCTAAGGAGGTTTTGCTTTGTTGGGGTCTTTAGATAGCTACTGATGTAGGATCATTAGAGGTCAAGGGTTGTCCGTTCTTCCAAGTTACGGACTTACATCTCTCTATTTCTTCTTCTCTTTATTTATTGCTGTACTTGTGGATATTGGCTCTTTGATATAATGGAAGTAATAACATTCAAATGAAAAAAAAGAAATAAAATAAATTGGAATCGCTGTGTTAAGAATATGAAAATCTTGATATATGCTACTCAAAAACGTGGGTATGGTTTTTATGAGGCATTTGTCTTAACCGATCAAAGTAAGGTGCACTTCAAACCCTGTCGAAAGATTGAATTTTAGGAGGTGTATGCCTAACAAGACTTGAAAATCCATTTCTACTACCAAGTACAAATTTAAGCTCCAAAAATGTTGTAGATCAAACAAATTTATACAATTCAAAATCTTGAAAATAAATTATCTAAATTATATATTACAAAATATGTCATTTTTAGGTTTTCTAGCATCCGAACGACCTTTTCCTTTGGATTTTTGAGTTGCCTCATACTTTTACAAGACAAGGTTGACACTAGATATAGGAATTCTATACTACGAGGCCATTTATTTTTTTACAAGGAGATCACAATTACTCTTAACCATTAAATGTCAAATTGTATGAATTGGGATCTCAATAAATTCTTTTTTGAACTTTGAATCTAATCAGTGACACACTCACAACCACCCAAAGAGATCAGATGGGCAAGAACATATATGATCTCCTTGTACTAAAAGTAAATAACCTTTTTTATATACTTTCCCCCATATATAAACTATTTCTTTATTTAATATTTATATAACTTTATTTGAGCTTTTCCTTGTATGAACTTTTTCCTGTAAAATAACATGAATGGGCAGTGCACTTACTGCTACAAACATAAGGTATATTTATGTAAATTATTTAATTATTAAATATTAAATTTTTGGTTGAGGTTTATCCAAGGGGGCACTTCATATTATGCAAGGCGCACCTCCAAAAAAATTTCTGAAAGATGTGGATCCACAGTTAGAAACGTTATAGTGACTTGAAAATTCCATGTTACCCTAATAATGAAATTTAAAAATTCTAAAAGCAATACAAATCTAATAGATTTATAAATGCTTGAAAATGTCGAAACTAGACCGTACAGATACAAGATGTACCATTTTTCAGACTTGAAATTCTTTTTTTCTTTCAACTCATACATCTTAAGATCAAGATGATCAATTGAAATGGTTTCCAACTTCAAAACACTCTTTTTTACTATATTTATGTATTACTTATGTACTTTTTTACTTATTACAACCTCATCTAACCGTGTTCTACTGTATCTATTATTTAGAAGGAGAACTAGATGAAAAAAAAATTTAAACACCAACACTCGTGGTGGTCTCCCTATGAAGATGGACACGCATCACCATATATAACATGAATACAGCCATAGTTATGCACACACTTCATTTATGGATGTGGGGTTTCTGTCAAATAATGAAGGAAACGAGATAAACAAATTGAAAAGATGGAAGCTTATCACGTTCGAAAGTTGGAACAAACATGATGGAAAAAGCACAAATTCAAGAGGAATTCAAAAACGCATTTTTATTAAAAGAATTAATACAACAAACCCAATTGAGGCGCCACACACTGTTGCTGTTTTTTTCTTTTGACACGGTTACATAGGAATGGAACTTGAGACGTAGTGCTATAAAAACCAGCTACCATCGTGACCCAAGCCGGATTCTATCTGCTGCTGTCAATGAATTTCAGATCATGAAATATAACAATGAGGCTGTCAATAATGATAAAAACAATCTAAATCTCCCCAGTTTGATGTCATAAGCAAACGAAATGTTATGAGCACCCACTTCATAAACAGCTCCTGTCTTGTCATCTTGCACTTTGATGCTAGAGGAACCTGTCGATCAACCAAGTATAAACATGAAATGAAAATAACTTCTTCTCTCTCTTATGGCGAGGCACTCGGTTGAACCGATCACACTGCACATGCTATAGCAGTGCGACATTTTCAATAGTAATTGGTCTTGGTGTCGAATGAGCAAGCTTGACAACAAATAGCATTTCAATTATGAGTAGCCTAGGCCGGTTCAAGGTGTTGCATAAAAATCTTCCTTGTCAAAAATATATAATCACCACCAAGGAGGTGTAAAAGCAATTAACTCAACCATGACTTTGAAACTAAGAAAAGCTTAACTCGTTTTGAGTACCATGAGGATCCTTTCTGTTGATACCGAGTACCATGAGGACTCTTTAAAGAGTACCATGAGGATTCTTTAAAGTAGGCTTTTAGAATAGAAGTTTCAGAGAATTCATGAAGAAGTCTGCTGAATCCCCAAATATTTGAGAAAAGGCTGTCATGACAGTGATGATGTTAAGTCTGCCGAATAAACGAAGAAATTGAGTTTGTTAACAGAGCAAACAAATTTCTAATCACTTACAGTTGTAGTCAGTCCAGCCAATAACTTGATTCTCAAGGTCATAGACCACCAGCTTGTTTCTCAACACCAGATCTACAAAAAAAACATGAACAGGTGAGATACTCTAAATTATCTCAGAAAGAGTTCAAGTAGTCGAGATATGAGTTTGATAATTGGTAAGAAATCAAATAAACCACACTCCTATGAAAAGGATTATGAGAGTTCATGTCATGTTCCCAACAGGTAAACTAGGGTTAGAAATTCACAGTCCATACATGTCAGAACACTACTCGAAGTAGACAACTACATTCCTAAGAAAAGGAATTAGAATTTAATATCTATATTATAAAATATTCCGTAAAATAAAGAAAAAGCCAATAATGGGACTGTATCCTAAACCGAACATAACTTCATACAGTAGCGAGAATACTAAAGAATTAAATAGCACATTACACTTCACGAAGCATACAAGTGCAAATGATAACTGTTCAGGGTAGAAAACATCCCATAATCTCTCATATGCATTATCCAGAACTCCCATCCATGAGACATGCACACGTTAAAAAGAAAAAGAAATAAATAAAGAAAAAAAAAAAAAAAAAAAGAGCAAGGTAAATCCTTCCAACATTTTTGCCAATGTTGTACAAGATCTGTTATTATTTCTTTACTCCTTTCCCATATCTTATGTTTGGAGCTGTTCTCTATTCCATTCTACTTATCATCATTATTTTGTCGAGATGCAGCAAGTGATGCAAATCATTAAGGTTGATATCATGGATTGGTTCTGCAACTTACACTATATTTAGTTTTTCAAAAGACAAGTGTAGTCATTAGTATTGAAATCAGACTGGTAGGGGGAAATAGGTTCGCAAAAAAATAAATAAATACTCTGATAGAAATAGGGCAAATGCACAAGGAGTGGCAAGTACTGCTGATGAACATTCAATATCTACAATGACAATTCAAAGAAGAAACGTTAAAACTTCAGAACTAGGCAGGTCTTTAGAAACCCATGCTGACCTCCTAGAATGGTCATCTGTCTGCTCTCCTTGGACTGCATTCCGCTATTTTGCCATCCAATACACCAATATGACTCCTGCATGGAGGCACACATCAGATCTAATTACAATCTAAAAAATATTCAACATGAATACTAATAATGCATGTGACTTGAATCAATATTGAGTTAACTGTCCACAATCTGAATAAAATGACGCATGTTAACCAATTAACCACTGAGAATGTTAATGCATCACAAATAAAAAAGGACTCAACTTTTCAAGTCATATATTAGATTACACCATGCTCTACTAGATTCTTCAAGATCATTCATGCTCACGCAAAGTTCACGTCCAACTTAGCTTCACTAAAAGGTAGACGAGCAGCCAAATCGCTACATCAACCTATGTACACATTATTCCAGACAAGACCTAATCAGCATCATTGTTTATCTCACACGTAAGTAATCTTGTAAAACTAAAGTGATTCATCACGGAGCATATCTCTTTCAAGTCTTGCAGCTCCATCTCCCATCCCACAGTTTTATTCTTTACATATATATCACCTCATGGGAACAGGGTAATCATAACCAGTTAAAGGAAAAGGAGCGCCAACAAGGTTCTGCAAGAATATTCCAACTTGTAATAGACAGGTGAAAGAAGTCTGTGGCGACCAAGGGAAATCAGATCCAAACTATACCATAACCAATTGACAAGGGAAGAGTACAAAACGAATGTCATCTTCTAGAATATCAGGAACAACAAAAGCACATTTTCAACAGAATGGAAAACTAAAACATGTACATAAATGCAGATTTATGGAGTTCTATAGAAAACTACTGAAGAAAACATTAAGATTATCAGTTAACCAGAGAAAGAAATGTACAAGACTAATGATGCAAAATTTTATACGCAATATAACTTACAGAAGCTTCGAAGAGATAGTCACGAGGATAGACCCTCAATGAAAGAGAATCTTCAAAATATAAGGTGACGGATGGAAATGCATCATCCACACTGCAATAAAAAGAAGAGATTGTATTCCATTATCTTAACAACAAATATAAGAACCGAAGATGCTTCAAATGAAACTACATTTCATCATGCAGGAATCGCCTCAACATCGCTAATAGCAGCTAAAATCACAAAGTACATGGTTGAACCCAGTATAGTAGAAAATGCTAAGCAGAAATTGTATATTTCTTGTATTCATTAAAAAATGAATATACCAATATACTATTCAGTATACATGTAGACATAACACATTTGCTAATATCATGATCAAACGACAGCTACTTAGCATCTTTTGAGTGATATTGTTACATGGCTGCCATATAAAGTGTGTGTGATATCAAAAATACAATCACAGTTGGTACACTATTCAAATCATTAAATTATACAAACGCTTTGCCAAAAATTTTCCCCTCTGAGAAACTGATTTTAATCCCAGTTTTTGCCCTCACAAGTGTTTTCAAGGAAGGGGGTTTGGAAAATAACTATTTTACCCTTGAACCAAGGTTCCATCAAGTACAGTGTGGACCAGGGAGGCACTTGGATTCCCAGGCATCCTTACCTGCTTAAAAATGGGGAAATCACTATTTTACCTTTGAACCAAGATATTTTCGCTCCTCAGGCATCGGGTGCTGGGTCTCTAGTCACCAGATGATTGCCTATGAGGCTATGCCTACACATCTTCGTTGATAATTAACTATTTACTTTTGTGTTGTAATCATTCTCTCCATGAATGCTCTACACACATGCATTTCATCTAGGGAGCCTGACAGGTTTATAAGTAACACCGCAAGAAATTCTCTGATGATTTTAAAACGTTAGAAAGCAGAGCTTCGAGATAGGGACACATAGACGTAGCTGTATTTTGTATAACCACCTCAGGGGGCAATTAGGAGGTCACCTAGACAGATTTTGAATAACCAGCAGAATTCAATATCCCATAATACTAAGAAAAATGACTTTTACACACTTGAAGTAAAAAGTTTTCCGTAACTTCAAATCGTGGCCAATATAAAATCAAGAACATGACAGCAAAAATAAAGGTTTTGGGCAATTTTGTGTAGAAAAAAGCTAACCAGTGATGAAAAATTCAATCGCCTAGGCACCCAAATCCCACCTAGGTGAGTGCCTTGGCTTAAAATGGCAAAGAATTGTGTTTAGCAGGAAGATTTTTCTGAAATCCCATTACACTACTGTACGCAATCCAACTATAGTTCACAGTTGAAATAAGTTTCAACTGTTACTCACATCACATGATAAAAATCAGACCTAATTCTTCTTTCTGAAACCCCAGTATACTACTGTATGCAATCTGATTATAGTTCACAGTTGAAACAAACTGTTACTCATATCACATGATCAAATTCAGAAATATTTCTTCAAAAGAATTACATCTTTTTTATCCATTGAGGTTATTGGTAACCTGTACCTAATAACACTCTTTATCCTAATAATCCATTCAAGTGAAAAAATGCAAAGGGCAGTTTTACTTTTTTAATAATCATTGGCTGAGACAGGAGATTGGAACCATTAATTTATCTCCAAAAACCAATGGCAGATGTTTCATAAATTATAAAAGTTAAACTTCAAGGGAAATTCTGAACGACAAGGAATATGAAATTCAGCAGAAGTACTTGTAGAATAATAGACGATGATATTTAGGAAACAATAACTCATTTCGCATGATGTAAGGCCAAATGTATACTGGATGTAGTCTAGAATATCTAGATGTCACCATGGACAAGAACATCACTTAGCTCACACGACAAAGTGTTGAACCATCTCAATAGGAATCCTTATCAGCACATTGTTTTATTAATAGGTTGTATGTGTCTGTATGTATGTGTGTGCATGTGTGTGTGTGTGTGTTCATGTGAGTGAGTGAGTGAGTGACAGAGAGAGAGAGAGAGAGAGAGAGAGAGAGAGAGAGAGAGAGAGTAGCCTCAAGAGCAAATCGATTATAGGGCTACTTCTTTTCCCAAAATAAAAGATATTAAGCTCCTTTAAGACGCCTAGACCAGAATGCTGCAAGGACAACTAGTTAAGGCGAGGAGAATGTTAGAATTAAAATTCCATCTAGCCCACCCATAAGAGAGAAGAGCAATCCCGAATCCACAACCTTCAAGAACCAACTGTACACATTCAAATTCTGAGAGTACCTCTCAACAAGTCTTCTTCATTTTTTAAATTATTCTTTAGGTTTATGAATACCTATGAAAGGAGTGTTCCACCATGAAAATCCCTATAGGACCATTGCTTTTAAACTTGGAATTCATCATTGGCTATGAAGATCAGGTCAGGATGGTCCCTATTTGTTTATTGAGCCAAGTCCAAGTGATGCAATATAAGAATCTTTCTGAATGCAATGCAACAATGCTCCAATTACATGAACTTTAAATCAATGTATACAATTTCCAGCCACCAAACTTGGCTTCTCTTACACTTAAAATGAAATTTAACAACTCTAATTGGTCCCTTGACAAAGTTCAAACACAAGAAACAACAAGGAGATAAGAGTCAGTACAAGACTATATATGTACTCAAAATTACTGCACTACACAAATTACATTGCCAAATTACTTTTGAATTTCATCAAAATCAATCTCCTCCACCACCAGAACATATATTTACATGTCCATAATTGATTTGATCATCGGAAGCCATATATCAAGCTTATTTTGAATGGTTTACAGCCAAGGACTTAGCTCTATACCATGGGATTACTTCTATGATGCCATTAAGATTAGGCCAAAATACATCAAAAAAAATATACCACAAATATAACATACTCAATTCTCCATAGCACAAGACATTTAATAACCTAAAACTACAGAAAGTAAATGCAAATATCCAAGAGGAAGCCAATGGTCGAACCCTTTGTGCCCGGGTCACCAATCAGACCTTTTAAGGACTTAACTTTGTCCTACCAAAGATGGCTTGTAACCACAAGGGTTGATTCCACTTAATTAACACTTTCTTACCAGTTAATTATCTTCAAATGTGTGTATGTGTGTGTGTGTGTGTGTGTGAGAGAGAGAGAGAGAGAGAAACATAAAACAGTTGGTAAAAACAAGGTATAGAAAGCTCATACAAGAGGGAAGTATATGGCCACGGTATAGAGAATTTAAGTGTAATTTCTCAAAGGAAATGATCTAGGATTATAATCTCACGATGTGGTACTCACATGAACATTATATGTTTGATAATATGCATTAAAAAATACTCCAATATTCTCAGAGAAATGAAGTGGTAAAAACTTTGGGAAAATGGTGTTGAAATTGTATGAATCTAGTCTAGACTATACATATGAGGTAGGATTGATGCATAGTATCTTATGGTACTCAATACTGATGAAAGATCAAGCATGGATTCCTGGCGAGGCTACTGTGATCAATAATTTACAGCAAGTAAAAAGGATGGAAATGAGGCCTTTCAATGGAGGAGAAGGAACTACAAAAGTTACCTCACATGTGGATAATGAAATAGACTAGATACCATGCATTGGAGTGGACTTGACTTCATATGGCCATGGAGTCACCTTGCCTCAAGATGGAGGAGAATGAGGATCAAAAGAACTGCTCCTTGCTCTCTCTCTCTCTCTCTCTCTCTAATGAGTTAGGGTGGTTTAAAATGAAGCCAAGTGATGGTCATCATAGACAAGTGGTTGTGTGAGTTCATAATATAATCTTAGCCATTAATGCTCATCATCCATAGGCAGACCTCTTCATCTAGCCATGATGATCAAGGAATGTTGATGCATAAAAATTTGAGGGAACAGAAAAATCAGCAAGCAACAAAGCCAAACCCAAGCATAATTCAAAGAAACCTAGGGTTCTTCTCCATACCCTAAGCTAAGGTTCAAAAAGCCTAAGTTTTTCTCTCTTTCAATTTCGAAAAATCATGTGGAATTACTCCTTCAAGGCCCCACTCACCTCTTATATATTATAATTTAATGTTCCAAATACAAGAAGTGAAGTGTCCAAACAAATAATAAACGCATACATCCTAACCTGAACTTAAACTTTTCACAGTCATTTTCACCAAGCTCAAATCCATTGACCCATACTCCCCGTGGATCAAAATTTTCACAAAGCTCAAAACCACGGTCATTTTTTGGCCAACCAATCACCACAGCTTTAAAGGAGTTTCCACTATGGCTTTTTCCCATGATTAGAGTATAGTACTTAGGCATAGTTGCAAATGCCCTGCCTGGGCTTCCCTTTGGATTCCCTTCCCACAGGGCCAGCTAAAGCTTAAATTTAACGAATGTTCCCTTGGAAATCCAGGACCATCCAGAGTGGGAGGCATCATTTAAGACCATCTAGACACTACTGTGGCTTCTACTTCCATACATATCGGCCATGCCAATTCAATGGAGGCCAAGGCGATAGCTCTCTTGGAAGGACTCAAGCTCCTTCAACCACTCTGACTGAACTGCTTCATGATTCAGGGAGATTCGAAGAACACCATCTGTTAGGCCCAGAGACCTTCACCCCCCTTGGTCCCTTGCGAACTTCTTTGATCAGATTTATTACTTGTGCAGGGATATGGACGTCTCTTGGACGCATACCTGGAGGAAAGGAAACTAGGAAGTAAACGCCTTGAGCATCAATTGATGGATTTTAGAACTTTCTTCGTTGGTCTTTTTTGGATTTTCTGGATCAGTTTCTTCTTCTAGGTTGTTGTTTCTATACTGTAACCTTCAAAATGAAGGCTTTTGGATTCCACTTTTGTTTTTACTTGTTCCCCTAGAGCATCCGCCCTTGTGGATTGCCTAGGTCTCATGTACTCATCTTTTTACATAATTTAAGGTTAAAATTATCAAAAAACTTAAACTTAAAATTAGTAATGACATATTTAGCCCTATGAATAGTACCCATAAACAGTACTCATGAACAGTAATTGTGAGTAGTACTCATGAATTAAAATAAAAATAAAAACCCTAGAATCCTTAAAAAACTTAAAAACCCTAGAAATAAATCCCAAAACTAAAATTATAATATACATCCTTTGAAACTGAATTAAAATTTAAAATAAGAATAATTTTTCCTTTCATCATTCTCCCCTGGTTGGAAACTCGTCCTCAAGTTTTAAGTGTGCTAAGATGATCAGCATCTAAACCACCTACTTCAACCTTCTTTTTCTTTATCGGCTCAAATAGTAGTCGGCGAAAAAAGAACTTCTCAAGAAATGAATCCTTATATGCATTTTGGTGAATCAATGCAAATTTATCAAGTATGGTTATCTATAAACTCCTATTAGAAATCGTGTAGGCAACTTCAAATCCAATTTTCTATCCTCTGAAGGCTTTCTTCACATCTATTTCATTACTCTCTAAAACCAGGGCCACAGTTCACGGTTTATCAGTTGACCACACTTCCACTGTGCTACTCTGAATCCAATGCCCTAAATTTCATAAATGCTCTATCTCTTTGATGTTAATGAGATCTTCAATGGCCATGATTTGGATCAGTCCTCCTGCTGCCTTCTCTCTAGATTCTTAACCCTCTTCCAAAATCTCTTCAACATCATATTGATCCTTATCATAGATCAGATCTCGTTGTATATATCGAGATTGGTGGTGAATCTCAATTTATAACTAGCTGATTTTCGATGCAATGTATATCAAAATCAAGAATCTCATCCTTCAAATAAAAAACCCTAAAGTGATGTTTCCTATGTCTAGGCCTTTTGTCACTATCCTCGTCACTATCCTCGTCACTCAACTCTCCACGCAAAGCACAAAAGTGAAAAGGCTTGTACTCGAGATCCTCCATCACTGCCTTGCACATTATTAAGGCTCGTGAATTGTTGCGTCAGCTATTGAACTTGCCTTTTAAGTTCATCAATTCCCTCATCTCTAAGATCATAGATAAGGTCGCTGCCATGGGGTCCCCGAATTCATAAACGCAAGTCAAATAATCAACAAAAAAACTCTTGAAATCAACAAGATTTAGGTTGTTTTGGCAAAATTTTAGCTAAAATTAGCAAACCCCCCCAAGATCCCATTGTAACTTCCCCGCTTTGTTGTTGATCCAAGGCACCAAAAATCGACACTACAGAACTGTCCGTACAGTGCTACAATACCTTTCGTGCATATCGTGGGCTCTAATACCAATTTAAGGCAGGAAAATTTGGGGGAGCAGTAAAATCAACAAGAAGCAAAGCCAAACACAAGCATAATTCAAAGGAATCTAAGATTTCTTCTCCATACTCCAAGCTAGGGTTCCACAAGCCTAACCTTTTCAATTTGATGTAGGAAAATTTGTCGGAATGGTAAAATTAGCAACAAACAAAGCTAAACACAAGCATAATTCAAAGAAACCTAAGGTTTCTTCTCCATAACCTAAACTAGGGTTCCAAACGACTAACATTTTCTCTATTTCAATTTCTAAAAATCATGTGGAATTACCCCCTCAACGCCCCAATAACCTCTTATATATTTAATGTTTCAAGCACAAAAACTGTCCAAACAACTAATAAATTGACCCATATATCCTAACTTAAATTTAAAATTTGTATGACAATTGCCCCTATGAATTATACCTATGAAAAATACTCATAAACAGTAATTGTGAATAGTACTCATGAAGTAAAAATACATAAAAACCTTAGAATCCCTAAAAAACTAAAAAAACACAAACTAAAACAATGATATACACCCTTTGAAATTGAATAAAAATTAAAAATGCAAATACTTTTTCCCTCCATTAGATTTCACACCATCAATACCCCATTAAACCCTCGATTTTTCCAATTGACCTCATTGTCCATAAGTCTTAAATAAATCTCCAATGAGTCATTTAACATGCCAAAATTTTCCATCTTAAACTTTGAAAACTCAAGAAGAATCAAAGTGAGAGGAGCATGCCCTTCATGGTATTTTTTAAATCCTCACTTTGTTTATTACTCAAAAATAAAAAATCCACATAGCTCATCCAATCGAATTGTGCCATTGTGTAAAAATCACATGGTTTCAACCAATGATATGATGCCATTAAAAAAGGTTGGTTAATCAAGGTTTCCAACTAAATTACAAGGCCTACCATTAACCCTAGGCACATGGGATCAATGGCATATATGTGGCAATTTAAGCATGTGACTAATACTATCCACTTAAAACAATTGTTTGTTTCAAACTATATAAAACACCATTTAAAACAATTAAACATATACCACAATCAACATCCGAAAACTCTCAGGCATCAGTGGATTATAGGTGCACCCCTAGGGACATGGACATACTCATATATAGTAGTCCACTCAAGGCACATGTGCACTATCTCTTCTAAATTGAATCATAACACATCAGAAGAGTGGCTTCCCGTGCAACTGTGAGCGGACATGCCACAGTGTGGTCTTTTGTCAGGGTTTCAACTCATGTCCCTTGAGTCATGACCATTCTATATAGGGCCATTACTCTTAATATATTCGGTTCTAATTTTTTTTTTTGTTCTCCAAGCCTTGGCCTAATCACCATCCCATGAGGCATGTTCTCTTAACGTATCCTTGACTGAAGGTGACCCTCACGCCTCTAAAAGCGGTGTCTCTCTCACCCGTATGAACTCATTGCCGCATGTACCCGGGGTATATGATTCTAGGCCCTAGTGCACCAAGCACCTAGAATCATGTTCTCTCACTCACTCTCATTGAGTACGAGAATCTTGGTTTTAAGGCCTTGAAAGGCCATAACTCCAACAGTCCCAACTTCCTTGAGATGAAAACACATTGGTTTTCTCAAATTGGTAGTTATGATCCAAAAATATAAATTGGAGGATCCCATCAACAAAGAAGACACATAGGATTTAATATAAATGTGCAATATGTGCATATCTTATTATGTGATTGTTTGGAAGTTCAAGAAAGAACATTCTATTGCCTATCCAAGTTTTAACCCAAGTACCTTGTCTCCTCCTGCCACCCTTTGAAAACCTATTATCTCCAAATCTAAAATCTCATTTTACAGCATTCTCTACAACAGCAAAAATCTAATTAAGTGTTCTGTTTTTTAACAGCGTGATCTTACCATCTGAAGCTATTTGTTTTTTCACTAAGCAAAGAGACTAGCAGGTAAGAAAGGAGAAAAAGAAAAAAAAAATCACTGTTTCTAATGAGCCTCAAAGCTATAAAAATGTCAGTAGAAGCTAAAACAAATCACTAGAAGTTAAAAAAATTACTTTCTAGTGAGCCTAAATATAACCCTTTCAATGATTTGTTCCTTTGCTGGCAAAGATTGCTGACAACAGGGATTTCAATAGTCTTGGTCAATCATCTTCCAGTATAGAAATTTAGGCACTCATTAGAAACAATGAACATAAAGATTTTTTATCCTGTAAAAATTGCAAAGGAAATGTTAGTTTCATCTTTTTGCGCAAGTTGTTACACATTTATTCCAATGTAAATCTGAATCCGGCCATAACATGACAAAAACAAATTTCTTTGTTCATTCTAACATAACAAGTGTATCCATCCCCATAAACATGAGGAATATTTGAGACTTTATTGCAACCAGATTAAATTTAGTCCAAGCTAATAAAAAATGAAATGAAGAAATACCTTCCAGTATATATAAAGCAATATGACCCTTCTAGCATAGAGAATTTCAATTTCGGCCCGTACGACATGATCTAAGAACAAAATGTACACAAGTCATTATTCAGCAGAACATATTCAGATTATAAAGTGTACAAAGTTAGTTCATACCGCACTCATCACAGGTTTGTAAGCTCCCTCTGTTATGTATGCTAAGGTAGTGCCACTATCGATTATTGTTCCTTGTCCATCTCCACTACCAAACACATTTGAAGGTAGGTCGAGTACACTTCCACCAACATCTATCGCTTTCAAATTTACATTGTAATGAGGCCTAAGATAAAAGTAGATCCATCAATTTAACATAACTCAATTCAAGCAAAGAAAATGAAAAACCTCAATCAAAACAACCACCACTTGAGAGAATGACAATTCTGAACAACTCATGAATTTTAAAGAAATGCAGCATAAAGAGATGACAATCATCAAAAACAGATTAATTGCTACCAATAAGACATATAGCATTATGTGGTCAATCAATCCAGGTGAACTTGAGAAGTGCAAGTTGAGAAGTCAATCAATCCATACAGCATTACGTAGTCAATCAATCCAGCATCACAATCTCAAGTAAATCTAGCATGTACACAAAAACACAATCTGTATAATCAGTTACAAATCATCTTGAAAAGTGCATGCGAGATACTTTGGAGGAATTACTTAAATCATGTTGTGCGGTGCATATCATGGAGTTTATATTTTTCTTCATCAGTAATTACATGACAAATATCTCAAAACAAATTGCACGTATGTATCCTATTCATTTACCAGAGTTTATGTACATTAAACTCTATAGATAAACTTTTAATCACTTAAAAATTCACTATAAGGCCCCTCTTAAACAGCCCTTCTCTCGCCAAAATGTCCTATTCCAAATTGGGTTCCCTAGAGAATGCACCATGCCTCACAATGAGTGAATCAATTTCATCAAACACATTTCAAAGATCCCATGGGCGAGTTTCTGCTAGGAAACCCAGCCTACAACGTTAGTTGTGACCCCTTATATGATAAGCTTCAGCAGACAATGCTGCATGTTTATTAATCCATGCAAAAGGGACCATGCCTCCGCCCAGTTTGCATCACTAAGAAACCAGTCCCTAGTATATCATCGAAACTTTATGCCAGTGATCCCACAAAATTCATCCCACCCATGCAGGTACAGGGTTGCCCATTGAACTACTCTCAAAATTCAACTTGACAAAACCCTGTGAAGAGAGTCCATTTGCATCGTCTCATCAACTTTGGTAACCTATCATTTGCAATTTCTTTCACTAGAGTCTCAAATACCAAACAGAATATCGTCAAAACCCTTTCTAGATCTAGCCAATCTATGTTGTGTTCTAACCTTTTATGATCTCTATGAGCTCCAAAACTTCTCTTGCTAAAGCATCTATTGTTCTATTCCAACCAAAGTAGTCATGGAACTGCTATGATTGTCAGTCTCCACAAGATAATGCCCTTCTTTGGCAGCAGAGGGGCCAACCATTGCACCAGTAAAGCATCTACAGAGGCTGATTGTACAATAAAATCAAATAAATTTAACATATATATTTATGTTGCGAAGAGACAATGTATGAACAGATGTCTGATTGTTTCCACATCCCTTAGATGGGCATACCTTGAGCAATAAAATGAATGATAGTCAGCATCCCAACTAAGGTGGCAGCCACATATATGCTTGTGTCCCGTGACGACAAGAAGAACTCCAAACCAGTCTAACAGCAGATACTGGTTTATCTGACTGCAAACTGATTTGATACATTCATCGAAATGTGAATCTTCCTTCAGTGATCAGGACCCAAGATCAGTTCCTCTTCCCTACTCTAGTTTGGTCTTTCTTACAAAGCATCTCAAAACTCCTTTTTTTTTTTTGTGGGGTCCCTCAACGCCCTGATATTCCATGAAAGATCTTTTTTTTTTTTTGTTGATAAAAGTTAACATTGTATTTCTGGGTAAGGAGTGTACAAGAGAGAGGAGGCCAAGTTCACCCCCTAAGGGGTGGGCCGGAAAAATACAGTCAGTGTATCATATACAAGAAGGGCTTATAAGACAGCCGAATGTGAAACTTTTACATGAAGCTTTCAAAAAATAAAAAAAATTGGGAGGCCAAGAGAAGCCAGGTGAAGTGCTATGGAAGTGAGCTGCATCAAAGATCTTGTGCAAAACAGGAGACGACCCCGGCTTGATCTTGTGATTGCCTATTAGCTCCTTCTTTCGCCAAGCGATCCGCGAAGTCGTTGGACGTCCTCCAAGTATGCCGCCATAAGACGTCCATATCCCTGCAAAGATAATCAATTTCATCAAATGTAGTGGTTAGGTACCATGGCCGAGTGGAGGCCCTACTAGCCCAAGAGAGAACATTCTTTGAATCTCCTTCAATGATGAGGTGTAATCCCCAAGAGTGATTAAACTTTTTCAGTCCTTGAAGGAGGGCCAGGGCTTCAGTAATGTGTGCTCCCATGATGCAAAGGTGCTCCAAGTAAGAAAGAAGAACATTGCCTAGGTGGTCTCTGAAAACCCCCCAACCCCTGCCGGCCCGGGATTCCCTAAGGAGCAACCATCAAAATTAAGTTTGATGGTTCCTGCTTAGGGTGGTTGCCAAAAATTGGATCTTTGTGGCTATCGCGGACAGTGGAAGAGAATATTCTTCCATTGGGGGAGGAACTGGGTCCTTTGTAGCCCCGAGAAGGTCTTGTGATTTGAGGCCCAAACGGTAACCAAGGATATTACCTTGTACAGGAGAGTTGAATCCTGAAGTTTTGCACCTCGGAAAATACAGTTGTTTCTTTCCACCCAAATGGTCCACAGGGTTGCCGTTACTGCTGCCTTCCAAAGGGCTCTACCAGCCTTTGGCCAAGGGGTGTGGAGCTCGTAGGAGATGAGCACTTTTACCATGGGTGGAGTGACCCATTCGATACCAAATAGTAGCAAAATGTTCCCCCAAAGTTCAAAGGAGAAATCACAGCGTAGGAAAAGGTGAGGGTTTGATTCCTCATCTTTTAGGCATAAAGCACATCTGTTAGGGATAGGAATCTCTTTCTTTTGGAGGCAATCAACAGTGAGGGCTTTGTGAGAGTAGGTAAGCCAGTTGAAGATTTGGACCTTGTGAGGAGCAAAAATGGACCACGCTTTCGAGACTGCCGAGATGGGGTTGGCAGGAAAAGTGGGGGGCTGCGAGAGGGTTTTGTAAAAAAAGGCCACCAAGAATTCTCTTGAAGGAGTGGGTGTCCAAACCAAAACATCTCTCCCTTGGTTAGGAATGAAGTGGGAATGAAGGCCAATTAAGAGAACTTGAAAATTGTTAAACTCTTCATCGGTTAGGTTTCTCCGAAAAAAAGGATTCCATACTCTATGTTCTCCTGTAAGAATCAATTCCTCAGGCACAGTAGCTTCTTGATTAAGAGCCAACGAGTAGAGATCTGGGAAAGCCTCCCGCAGTGGTGAGGAGCCTAGCCATATATCTGACCAGAAGCTCACCCAGGAGCCCTCTCTCGGATGAAATATAATGAGTTTTTTGAAATGTGGCAAGACCAAGGAGAAAGATTTTCAAGCTCTTGAGGTATTAGGTCTGTGGGACCTCTCCGGTACCCAACCTCCTTCAGGTATCCTATATTTGTTTCTCAAGACCTGAGCCCATAGGAAATCAGGCTGAGACGCCAGTCGCCACAACCACTTGCCTAAGAGGGTGAGGTTATGCTTTCTGAGGACCCTGATACCTAGACCACCCTGGTTTTTAGGAAGGCAAATGTTGTCCCAAGCAACCAGATGGAATTTAGTCTTCTGAGCCTGCCCTGACCATAAGAAATTACGCATGAACCAATAGGTGTGGTCTGGATATAAATGATGTGTGGTCTGGTGAACCAATAGGTGCCTGACTTTTTGTTTCTAGTCAGAGCATCAACTTTTGCCATGGATGATATTGCAAGTTAAACTCTCGAAGTTTGTATTGCCTAGACTATCATTTAGTTCGCTTGCTACTTCTCAAATTGCCTCCATTCTTGACCCTTTTGATGCATTAGCTCTAAAGGCATCCAAAATGTTATCCATTTTGGCACCATATGGAAATTCATTGCATGGATCATATCTCCCATATATTTCTCTGGTCTGAGAGAAATTCTGTATCCTTCAGCAGAGTCTATGAAGGCTCCATTATAATGGACCATGCCCCTAGTTGCAATGGTCATCTACATGCGAGTTCTGTTTTTGAGGTGAGGAGCCTAGATCTTCTTTTTCAACCCATGGTATGCACTGTAAGGGTCTGAAGTTAGGACCTTCAACAAATAAAGACAAGAGATTGATAAGTCTCAGCAATGGGACAATTATAAGTATCCAGAGACTCATGAGACCCATTTGGCAACTCCCCTTCTATCTTCAAATTTCCTCACCACGAACTACAGCCCTTTCCCCAGTAAGTCTCATCTTAATAATGTTGGCACTATCAGTTCTCCAGCAAAAGATAAATATAGTCGTCTCTGGAAACATCCATGGGGAAGGCCATAAGTGGATGTTGTAGTATTAACTCCGCAATGAAGTCCATTCTTCATTAGGCTCTTCCAGGGCTTCCTTCCTCAACCTTCTATAATCCATCTTAAACATTTCATTGACAAAACTCCTGCTCATCCATACTTGCCATTGTATAATTTCTCCTTGGTTGTTGGAAGGTAGCCCACTCAAACAACAGCACCCCATTGTGGGTAATACCCATGCTTGATGTTGTCTGCTCTCATTTCTCATATCACATTGCCCTGACTCGCCAATTGGGGAAACGATCTACACCAGGGACAAACTCATGCTATGGCCTCCTCTTCTTTTTCCTTCTGTGTAGTCCTACTATTTCTTCTTTCAGGACTCTACCCAGTTTCAACCATCCTCTCCGTCAAGCTCATTTGGCCCTTGCATTGAGCTTCTCTACTCCCTTTTGCTGTTAGGACACAACCTGATGGGTTTCTCTTCTTGCCAAACAGACACCGTGAAAACACAAGTCTCCAACGAAGGTTTATATGGCTAGGCTAAAAGCAATACTGAAGGGAAAATCCAAGACAAAAAGGAAAGCATGCCAATCATAAGAAATCAAACACAGATTGCAACATACAGTATATGTGGGGACCACTAACTGAAGGACTATATTTGGGCTACTTTTATCTCGACAAGCTTTTCTTCTAACAACCACTTCTTGAGGAAAATAATGAATAGGACCATATTATGAAACTAATTACATCCGAAAAATCCATTTCCTCCTATTCATTTCGGAAAAACTAATTATTGCAATAAGCCATC